ATCACTGTGAGCAGACAACTCGGGCTCGGTCAAGTATTACTGCTATTTAGGTGTTTAAACGAATTAAACAGCTTAAATAAAGATGCTGATATAACCTTAGATACAAAAACTTATTGGGTTTTTATACACGAGACAGTATGACAAGTATCACCATACACAAATCATAATACCTTTTACTGGTACAACCTTCCATTGTTGATAAGCCCTTCCAAAAGTGTTTTCTACTGTGCATTGATAGAAATAATTCTTTACATTTTCCTCGAGTAGTATTAAAGTACTTTTAGTTGACGTTGTGATGATTTCATAGACATTTTCCTTGTTTGTGATCTCTTCCCAGTACGAGTTGTTTGGTTTACAGTTATCTTCAAAACACTGGGTAAACTGTCCTTCCCAAACAACCACAAATTTTTCGGGATTTCCTTTCTGTATATTGCAGATTAATCTTGTCTTAGTACGACTATCTTTGTAAACATGAACTGTTTTGATGCCTTTGGATTTATTTATAATCTTCGGTGCACCTGCGGGAAAATAGATGTATAAACACGTTTGGAAAACTTTTCGTTTCATTTTCCCAATCAATTTCATAATCTCTTTCTTGTTTTTTCAGCTAAGTAAATTCAAAATAAGTTTATCACAAGTAATTAGAGCTGTAAGGCAAACACAACATAAAAGGTGATTAGAATAATAACACAATAAGACACGTGCACTGATTGGTCTATATAGCTGCGTTTGCATTGGGCTGTGCAAAACAGATCTGAGCTCAAACATTTAAATCAATCAATCAAAGAGAACTTGATAATCAATCGTGAACACATTTTAGAGAAAAAATTAAAACGTTGGTATTAAATTTGCCTTTTTCACATTATTGTTATTCAGTCTTGGGCTTGCACTGATCTGCTCTCGAGTTCTCCCAAAGGTCTCCTCAGTTTGCATAGGTATGTGCAAACACAGTAAACATCTTTTATTTCTTAAATGAATTGAAGTAATTAAAAGATTTTGTTTCTAAACATCATCCATAACAAAACCAAGGAACACATTTGTCTTTCGTTACATATAGAGTTAGAGATGGCGGTGAGCTGAGAGCAGTTTCGGTGAGTTAAACCTTTATACAAGACCTAATATGATGAGCAAAATATCATAATATCTGAGTACAAAGATTTTACAAATTTCACCAGAAAATCTGTACGTAACCTTACCCAAAATATTCAAAGCAAATGATTTAGAAACATTTCCCATCCTGTTCGTAACAACGCATTTGAAAGTTGCATTATCTTTTGGAAACGATAAACCATAGAAGTATATATAATCTCGTTCAAAATATAGGTCATCATATGTGTTTTTATTGGTTGTCGAGTTATACAACAGCTCTTCTTGACTGCCAACAATCTTCCACCATGTAATCGTAAGCTTTGGAAACCCTCTACTTTGTAAAACTTCTCAACATCATAACTGTACCTGGGATCAAAAGTGATCACGGGTTCCGGGAATTTAGAAATATTTGGCTTTGCAAAATCTGCAACGATAAATGAAAAAACAAACTATGATTGTTGTGAACAAATTTCATGTTATCCTAGTACTACTATGGCATTAGACCAGGCAACGATCAGGAGCGAAACTAGAACGCTAATTGGGAGGGGAAATTCATATATTCAGCTCTGCCCTGCTTATTTCTTTCGTTGTTGATTTTAATTTCAAAAAGAAATCAGCGGGGCTGAGCTGAATATATGAATATTTACCCCTTCCCCCCAATTAGCGTTCTAGTTTCGCCTCTGGCAACGATAGCAAGTGACGAGGCAAAGATCACACTCTTCATAGCTTTGGTTATAGACTATGGAGGAGACAAGAGTGCAAATTTCCTTCTTTTCTTCAGATCGTTTTAAAAAAATTTTACAGATCTATAAAGACGTTGATTTCGCTCATGCAATGATTGCCCTTGACTGAAAGTCTGACATCCACAAGAAAACCTCTGTTCTTGATTTCTTGCAGTAATTAAGGCTATTTAACGAGTCACTTTTCTCTTTTAGCTTTTCTGATATTTGTGCTGCACCAGATAACATGGGGAAAACCTTTACGCATAAATCATACAATACCAGGCATTTTGATGTATTCCTCTGTGTATGCTGTCCATTTGACATAGTTTCTAGTTAGGTAACACACATATACTCCATCGTCATTTGTGTCAAAATTCTCTATGACTAAGTCTCGAATTGTCACAGTTTTATGCATTCGACCTTGGTTATATTGTCTCACGTAATCAGAGGCCTTCAGTTCTTTCCAGTCTTTTCTTGTTCCGTTTAGTTTGCTTTTGTACCATGTAAGATAAACGTAGCCAAAACTTTTACACCTTAGAACAACCCTCTGTTTATATTCGACTGATGTGCGGCGAATAATGCTTGGTACAGGTCTTGCTAAGCCATCTGAAAAAAGAAGAAATAATGACTTTCGTAAGCTGTGCTGAAATTTAATATATTGAAGAGTCCAAGTTCATGCTCTCGAAAATTAGTAAATTTATATCTTATTATAAACATCGAGATAAAATAGTGCATGCAGCTCCTTTCCATTAAAAAATTTTTGACTCCGAGAACAACTGATCAATTTTTTCGAAATAAAAATCAAAAAAGTTATTGAATCTTTTCCATCGACTTTGACAAAACACACGCAACTTTGACAAATTTTAATTGCTTCGTCATTTTATCGTAAAAAGTTACGTAACTTCCAGGAAAATTACGGCTATTGCAAAAAGAATGAACGTACACTAGGGACTGAATCCGAGGATTAATTAAGAAATAAAAGATGTTTACTGTGTTTGCACCATTGAGTTCTATGGTTTACATTACTGGTGGTTTGCACAGGCTTATGCAAACCGATGAGACCTTAGGGAGAACTCGATAGCAGATCAGCGCATGCTCGAGAGTTCTCACAAACGTGTCCAATGCAAAAAACACGAAATATATCTTATATTTCTTTTACAAAATAACAATGCAAAACAAATAAACTTAAAGCAAATGTCTAAATTTTTTAAGCTCAGATCTGTTTTGGACTAATGCAAAACACAACTATTGGCCAATCAGAGCATGCGTTTTATTGTGTCTATTTTATAAATCTTGTTGAAACTACAATGTCTGCAGAGTTTAAGCAGTTATAAAAAACACATCGTTTTGGCATAGTTTGCGAAAAACTAAATGACACTGCCTGATTTCCATATTGAAACTGGGTTCCTGGGATCCAGAAATTCAAGTGCGCTTTTTTTAGATCCGTTGTTTGATCCTTTACACTTTACATAGGTGTAAATAAACTTTTACCCAAAAAGTAAGGTAGAAGTCAGTAACTAACGTTTTAAGATTTATCAGATTCAATAAAAATCCAAAACGCACACATCAGTTTAAATAAAGTACTGAAGAGTGTAGTTAAGTTGTACATGTCCGAGCTCGTGATTTTACGCTTCATAAAAAGAGAAGACAAAGTAATCAACAGTTGTCAGTTAATTTGAAATTGTGGCATAAAGTTGTTGAATGCTCGTTAGAGGCACCTAGCATATTGATATTGAGGACTATTTCTTGAGATTGCTACATATATACACATGTGTAACATATAAATTTATAAATATGTATAAATATATTTGAAGATATTGACAAAACATACCAGTAGCGTAATGAACTGAAAGGACTGCTAAAGTCGACACATTTTCAGCTCGACATTCATAATCACCATCATTTGAGCGGTTTAATTTCACAATTCGAAATATTTGATTGAATTGCTGAAGATATATACCGTCAGGAATACGCCTTTTGAAAATAGAAGGTGTATGTGGTTTATACCAAAACGTGACGTTTACAGTTGGGTCACTAAGAGAGCAGTTGAAGTCGACCTCGTCATTTCTTTGTAATTTAAAAGCTTTGGATGTCTTCTGTAGCCATTCGTACGCTCCTATAATAGAACATTCAACTTGTATGAGTTACAATAAACTTAAAACGTTAATTTGCAGAGGGTTTTCCATTAAATTTCGGCAAAAAATAGTCGATCCTAAATATTTATGATTGACGAACAATTGTTTTATACAACTCGTCGTTTTCCTACATCCAGACCTTTGTCTTTGTCTTCTTACACTGATGAAGAGCAATATAGCAAAGACACAATTTAAAAAACAAACTCTATACTATAAAGAAATATTAATAAAACAGTTTCGCTTCATATATCCTTCCCTGTTCAATTGTCACATCAACAATAGAATGACGTAGAAAACATGTTAAGTTTTATCACTAGTCTATTATTGAGCACACTCTATGTGTCCGTTACTCACAATGTTTTCCACGTCAACAAACGATAAGCATGCTAATTTTAACAATGATGTTCTAAATGCAGGCACGGACGAAGCACATACATAGTTGATGACCTTTAATGACTTTAAATTCCTCTTGCGATTCATATAATCGTGCGATCATCTCGCAGTAAGACCTGATGACATGGTTCACTTAAAGTTCTACCCATAACTCTTACGTCTACTGTTTTCATTCCACTGTTTAGTTGGGTTTTTTTGAAAAAAAACAATGAACATTACAATATGGTGTGTAGGCTGTAAAACCCAAGTGACCTTCAGACAAACTTTTAGCGAACTTTAAAAAACGGAAGTTTTAAGTATTCCTCTTTATGCTATTCTCGATGTAAACAATCCTTTGTTATGCTTGTTTTTCTAATGAAGAAAATTTAAAAGGAAAGTCAGTGCATAGATCGTGAAAACTGATAAGTTTCTACACTTCCTTTTTGAGTTCCAAGCCTCAATCAACACAACTAAGCACCATATTGTAAAGTATATTGCAAACGATGTAGAACCTGTTTTGTAACTAAAGCACCTAAAGCGAAAACAAGCCAATCACACAAGCACAACTGTTCATTTCAAAATATAATTACACTGCCGTTTTTTTCAAAAAGCATCATCTTGCTTTCAATTAAAATTAGGAAAAGCAGCTGCCTTTTAGCGTCTTGAAAATAGCGTCATTTTGTGTGATATTACCATGTAATTTTAGACAAATATTTGCTAGACTCGTGTCTTTACTTATCGGATAGTTATCACGGGCGACATAATTATACCATTCTATATAAAACTATTTAGATGGATACAAAATAATTTATCTGTTTGTACTTCGTGCTAGGGCGAAAATTGACCTGAACAAGTTGGTATTTCTTAAAAATACCTGCATATAAAAAATGATTTTCGAAGAGATAGGAAATTCACATAAAGTTAACTAAGTCAACAAACATAAGCGGATGTGAACGCATTTTAAAACGAAAACGAGACATAGTATGGTTGGGTTTAACCATTTTTGTACTTATAAATATACAAATGTTTACAATTTACTCGCAAGCAACTAATGATTTTTAAGACAACCAGAAGCAGACACATTATTTTGATTCTGAGTTCTACTTGCATTATTCAAAACGCAATCACGACACGAATAATACTAACCCGTAAACACGGTAAAGGCATCGAACCGGATTCAGAGAATACAAACAAATTATTTGGTTTAAAACCAAGTCCATTCTACGCTATAACTTAAGCAACAGGGTGATAAACTAATCACTGTCGCTGGATTAAAATATTTAAAGTGTTTACAATAATTAAGAAAAGTCAGCAAGTTTTACATGACGGTATATTAAAGTCAATAAACGCACTTTAGAAATCGACAATGAATAGTCGGTGACCCAGCAGTTTCTGTTGCATTCAGTTTCATGTTACCTTTCCTATAAAATTTTCACTGACATACAATCCGAGTAAATCGTTATTTACTCTTAAAAGTAGAGAACTCACCACAATTTCGATAGCATATCACTAGTAAAATGAAACCTTTAATGACTACTGATGTTGGTGCCTTCATGATTCACAATTACTTCTTTGTAAACAATATCCAGTAATTGCACGATCTGCCAGTTGTATTGTCTTGAAAAAACACGCTATGTAACTAAGAAGCGTAATTTTTTGCCTGAGTCACTGTGGCAATGGTGTCTATCGATTAATCAATCGCACACTATGATTCAACTATCTGAGTATCTTCGATTCAGGCGGAAATGAATAGGCCACATAATTCATTCAATATTCTAGTAGGCGTATGACGTCAACTGAGGTCCATTATTTGTGTCTAACATAAGTGTGCACCTTCTGGGTCCTCGGGCCTTTCATTGGGTACAAGGTTTCCTTAGAGACGAAGATAAGGGCATTTTCCTGTACGTTCTTCATCTGCATTTAGTCATGGTGCTGCGCCTTTTATGACACAAATTATTCGCTAAAGAGCAAATTTTAATCATTACTTTAAAACATCTGTATGCTATGCAAAGAGTTCAATTAAATTTAGAGCGGTATTAATTCCAGAGTCGTATAGTCAGTTTGACGAAATGGATTGTTTATACACCTCAGTTCAAAAAAATTGTTTTTCTCCCAGCCAAATGATGCAAAAATCTATATAAAATTTTGCGAAAAACAATTATTTTCCATGCGTGTACAATTAACACGTCAAATTATTAATAACAAGAACAGAACAAGGAAATAATGGACGACATGGGAAGTTAAACAACAGGTTAATGCAAGCACAATAAGCTTGAAAACAAAATGACATAAAAAGTAATACCTTCAAGCAATTAATGTAGCGGCTAAGCGTGTGAGGTACAACAGCAAAAATATTTTTTAATCGTACACTTTTAAGCAAGTTGAGATTGTCACTATAATTGAATAAGAATTTTTCATGATATTACTACGCTAAGAGCAATGATTTATACATTTGACATTTTCTTCCCACGCTCAAAAAACATCCTTGTCTGTACATTAATCCTAAAAAAATCAAACACGAGTCGCAATTGAACTCAAGGGAAAAAAAGTTAATTATTTAACAAGGTCTGTTCTAAATCTCATTTCCGGGTGCAGAATATACATAATCAACTTCGACACGTAACAACGAAAGCCACTGTTTTCTGCTTTCTTCAATTCACACTTCACATAAAGAGCATGCGATTTTAATGTTTTTCAAGATATGAAGAACCCTCGATAACCTAAAATATTTAATTCATTCTTGTGTAAAAATATATCTTCATTATCGATGAAAGGATAATGCAGAGCAAATTAACGTCTCTATTTATGATGTGGCTAAATCTTAGATATAGGCAACAGAGTGGGATGGCATTACTTGATGTTCACACATTTCTTGTAAAAGTTTGGGAACGTAATAATTTCCACGATTCGTAGGATTTTTCAGTGAATTAGGCTATATAGCGTATGATTTTTAAAATTAATAACCTCATTAGATCTTGTCGGAATATTCTCATCATCCTTCATCACAAAAGATATTATCAATCAAAACACCTGCATAGCATCTGCTGTCATATGTAACTTAGTCTTTTTTCTGTAATGTGACGTACGTAATTGTTCTTTTTTGATGTTTGATAAGAAATCAGGTTTCAGATGGATGATGGTCGTGCATTCGGTCTTGCATCATGTAAAAGGAAATGGCGTGCACTGAGATTGTATAATTTATAAATGCACGGATAACATGGTATCAAAGATATTTTGATGACTTCAATATCAATTCATTGTCTCTTATTTAAACGAGATCTTGCAAAACAGACTGAAAGAGTCGTTTTATGAAGACGTGCATAGACTTGCCCAATCTTACATAATGAAAATGAATAAGCACAAAACACGGTTTCATTTCGCAATGAAGCATTCAAGTGCTTTTTCCGTTGTACGCAAGAGGCTTTACGATATTCAGCACTGGTGGCACTGGCTTTCTCTGCAATCGACACAAGATCATGTCAACAAAAAGCTCTTAAAAAACCCGAGAGTGTTCTTGACTTCATTAACAACTCTAAATGGAAAAATAACAAAAGTCACGTGTTTTTGAATATTGTGTGATACTCTTCTATTCCTTGCTTTAACATAGGCAATAAATGATGAAATTTGAATTTCACTAAACTGTATATCAACATTGATATACTGATTACTGGTGTATAAAACGACATATTTGTTCTTTACATAAATATCGTAAAAAATTTCAAATTACGATATGAATAAAATTTACATATTTATACAGTACAAATCGAGATTAAAAGTTAGATCTCGTGAATAATAGTGACATCTCGTTTGAATATTATTTAACTGTATCGCTTATTTATCAAAATGACTTCAGTTTGCACAACATAGCCAGAAAGTCGCATTAACGTGATTAATGACACGTAAATTTGCCCTAGTAACTGAAGAGATTAATATTTTGTAATGTCCGTTTTAAAGTTATCTGTTGAACAAAAGAAGATCCCGTGGAGTAAATTTAGGTGCTATATTGTGCCTTGCCGTAGGTTACCTCCATAAAGTGCAGAGAAACTTGTCTGGAACTTCGATTTATCATTGACATAATTCAGTTAGTTAAGGAGTTAAAACGAATGTTCATATACTTGTGCATTTTCATGATCAACACCAATGCATCCTCAAAATCTTCCGTAAAAAATCATTTTTTTGAATTGGAGGTTCTTCAGTAAAATGATTGATCCAGACATTCAGTAAGTACTCCCCATTTCTGCTGTCTTAGCAAAAAGATAAAAAAAGTTTTGAATTTTCAACCCAAATTCTTTTTTGATTGATACATATTTAAAGTTAATTACATATTCAGTTTACAATATCATAGTTGGAGACGACGGCAAGCGGAATATTTATTGTTGTAACCAAACATATGCATCCAACATCGTTCCACATTTAAGATTTGATATTTGAGCTTCATATTCTATTTGATAGCTTAAAACAAAACATGGGCAGACAATGTTCTGTATGATTACATCCTTTTGTTTTACATCACTTTCGATACCACTCAAAAAAATAAGTTTCAGTATTCGTATTAATTTCATGTTTGTTGTTTTGATTCAAAAAGGACATCTATGTCTACACTAAAATGGAAAGAGTACTCTTAACCAATATTGAACTTCTACTCCTACCCTACTCCTACCTCTTTATACTTTGAACTCCAAACTCTTTAAAAATTTAGGATTGCAAGAAATTTGGGTTCATTTTGCTTCAGTATTGAATAATGCTTTTATTCATGGCAAGATTTGAGAGCTATTTTGAAATGTACATGTGTGAATAACCAAAATATCATAGTTTGCTGATATACTACAGGAAACACCTATAAACATACAAAGTAATATCCACATATATACATTTATACTACATGGTAAACATTCATGGACAAATTCATGATAAGCGTGTACCCCAAGTCTAAACTCAGACTAAGATAACGTTCAAAAATTATATCCCCATAACAACGTGTTGAGAAAGTCAAATGAAGTTCAAGTTCAACATACATTTCGTTTAGCATAACCCGTTGAGCAATACTCCATTGTTTAATATAAATATAATATAGCGGAAGTGATAGGGTGTCTACCATGGTTCCCGACGCCATACTTCGTATCTTCGTATTCTTTATCAGGAAAACACACAATATATAGAAACTAGAAAGTTCCCTCGCATGCGGCTCTTCGACTGAGCCTCACCCCTTCTTTACCATTAATTGTCTTAGTCAATTAACAAAAATACCAAAAGACAATTACTTAATTATGGCTGCGTATTCCTAAAATTGTATGGAAAGATCGCCGACGTATGATTTCGTAAGTTGGGGGTTAATTCTATCTGAACATTGCTAGCATACGTATAAGAAAATACGTATGAAAACAGTCCACTATAAATCATTTTCCACTACTATTTTATTCAAACCAGACTCACTGCAGCATATGTATTTTATTTCCTGTAAATCTTGCTGGCTGTAATAGTTAAGGATCAATTTCACAATAGTTGTTACAGATAGACGCAATTCGCTTTACAACAATAATTTACTAAAAATTTGAAAACAGAAAGGCAGCACATTATTTCATTAAAATAAAAAAGGAAAGACACTTGGAATATCAAACAAATTACGTAGAAAACTGGCGTAGGACGTCGCTGGTGCGGTCAAATACACGGAAGGAAAGTCTGTAGGAAATGAATGTCAACGCATTTGGCTCACAACTCTTCCCCTGCAATGCTCTTCTTCGCAACAGCTCTTCACATGCTAATGTGTGACTTAAGTGACTTGGGTAGTATTTATGTCGTGGTAAGGCTAATTTGTTCGATCCACGAGAAATCACGCTTAAAGATTTTTCCTAAAATTATACGCTTTTAATTTACAAATTAGCGAGGCGATAAACATATCTTTTAGAATGGTACCTATTGAAATCGTAAAATATTATTTGTTTGATGATATTGAATAAGATGTGACCTTAATTAGTCTGTGGTCCATAATCTTAAAATGCACTCCTCACATTGGGTACGTTGATCTTTTTCACCATCCAAGAAAGAAAATCAAACAGCAAAAACACAATACTGAAGCTATTTTGGTGAAAAGTAGAGAAGTAAATCCAAACTCCTGTAATTTTGATAAGTGGAGGTCAAATCGAGTGTAAGTGCTTATCTGAATACACCCTTATATTGGTAGCCGTACCATTTAACCAAAACGTTGGGGCTGTCATGCATTTTTCCTTTTCCCTATTAAAAACAGTAAGCAGCGTTAAACCATGCAGATTAAAATAAATAACGAGGTGACACATTTTAGTCAACAGATCAATATATTGATCGTGACAAAAAATCATATGTAAAGTAAGGATCAGTTTGGGATGTCATAGTGTTGTCGTCTTGGTCGGGTACAGGAAGGAGATATACTAAAAAAGAACCCAATTAAATTCAACGTAATATTCTAAAATGTGTATTGCTCTTAAGGACAATAGATTTTTAGCGTATTGTAATACAAAGCATGTGAAAGTAAATCGTTGATATTTATGGAAGTTCTCTGTTTCGATACATCCTATAGCTAACATTAATCAATCGGCAATACAAACTTGTATACTCTCCTGTCTGACCAGTCTTTGCTTCCATTCACAATAGTGGAATTGGAGTTAAAAGTAATACATAAAATTCATTCCTTGCTTGAATCTATAAAAATTTTCCTCCATCTATATATTTTCGATTCAATATATGTTAGAACAGTCAACATTAACACGAATATTTTTGAATTACAGGTCAAATAATTAATCAACTACAGTAATGTTTGTTCTGAATGGCTTAAAATAGCTGTGATTGTTTTGGCGCTTTGGAAAAGATCTTTCATGAAAGGCACAAATAATGCACGTAGTTATAATATATGCATTAGCTAAAAGACAGCTTTGAAATAACTCTGAAACGCTGTGTGTGAGCAAGGCTTTCTTTAAAAATACAAAAATAATGTCATTAATTATATTGTTTCAATGTTGAAACAATGTAAATTCTCAAACCACATTTACTCCGAAAGACAATGATGAAATATCACAAAATTCACAAAATTCCTATGAAACACAAACAGACATGCAAAAACAATTTCATCATAAGAATTGGATGACCATCATCTAGAGAAACTATTAACGATAGACAATGGAATAATATTAAGATACAAAAACAGACTGAGAAATATTTTCATTAGGTAATTGACTAATACACAAACAGACAAAAATAATTTTATCATAAGAATTGGACGATCATCATTTAGAGAGACTATCGGTGATAGATAATAGACTAATATTAAGATAAAATAAAAATAACCGAAAGATAGCTGGTGACGAACTATGTAAAACATATATATATTGTGTTCATATAATCCGAATGACTTCAGTAAAGCAAGTCTTCCGAACTATAAAGCATGCTACTTGCAGCTAAAAATGAATCATGATCAAAATTCCAACTAACACAACGTCAACAGCTAGAACAGAATTACCGAATGCTTTATGTGCGGACAACAAAAAACATATAAGAAGTGCTTTCATTAATATTTACAGCCTGTATGCACTATTAATAATAATATATATGTGTATATATATCGATAGTATTCTATATGTTGACGATGAAAATCTTGAGACTGTATTACTGTATAATGTATATTATCACAGTTTTAAATTTTCTCATGCGCTCATAAAAACTTTTAATTTAACAACTAAATTTAATGTGAATAATCAATTACATATTTCGACGAGTGAATGTGTGTAGAGATCAACAATAACTAAGTAAGGTCATGCAAATTGCAAGAAACTATTAAGACCAAATTTGGCCATTCTCAACCGAAGGCGATGGCTATCACGAGAACCCGAGATTTGATACATCTTCAGATTAAATAAAAACAGATTTCTGCTATTGTTTATTGCATGTTAAATTATGAACATGTGTCAAAAACAATTTATTTGCCACATTATTCATTTAATTGTGAACAGCAAACAGTTATCTAAAGATATCTTCGTCTGGAGGAGTCATTCACTGTGCGTGTCACAGCAAATACTTGATAGTCTCTGCTAACTAAATTTGTGGCTACACACCGATAAAATCCAGCTCCAAATGGTGGCTGCACTACAAACTCGTGTTCTTTCTTACCTCCATTAACAAACTTTTTCCAATTCTGTTCCTTTGGCTTACATGCAAATGTATTCTTTAAACAGTCAAAAGATTGAAATTCCCAACTGATGACAGGCTTTGGATTACCGCTGACAACTTTGCATCGCAGTATAGCAGGACTTTTCGGGATCGCGAATAATAGATAGAAACGATTTTATTGAAGTTGATATCTGAGCGTTTTGAAAGCTTTGGCTTACCTATACGTAAAATGGCAATGGTTGTTATCATAAAATACATATTGCGATCTTTTCAAATCAGGGCCAGGATACTGCGAATACTTTTTGCAATTAAACCTTCTATAAAATTTAGGGACAGATAGTGAGTGTTTTTTTCCAAACAACAATTAAATGCCCCGTCAATAACTCAATTGCATACATCTCCCCTGCACGACCATCTAACAAAATGGGTTGAAATAAAAAATCTGAAAAGAGTTACACTAATCGTTTTTAAGAATGACAAATGAATAGCAAAATATACGGTTGACTTAAACTTACTAAAAACATTTAGTTTTGTTGAAATAAAAAATCTGAAAAGAGTTACACTAATCGTTTTTAAGAATGACAAATGAATAGCAAAATATACGGTTGACTTAAACTTACTAAAAACATTTAGTTTTGTCGAAGATAAAGCTTTTCCCACGAAATTTTCAACTTCGCATGTAAGTACCATCGTTCCGTCTATAAGACAACCGATGCAGAGTCATTGTATTTTTCTTGAACTCAGTTTTAACTTTGTAAACGATTGACATTTTTGAGATCTGCCTCCTTCACAAATGGCTAAGAGTCGATCGTCTTTGTACCAAGTCATCTTTGGTCTGGGACTTCCTTTAATTTTACATTTTATTGTAACAGAGATGCCTTCACTGGCAATCACAACTGGAGGGAAATGTCGGATTACTGGTTTCTTTGGATCTATAAAGAAGAAACATACAAAATCTCAGTGTTGATTTTAAAATAACACTTTCTTGACGAATGGTGTAATAGTCCAATCTTCTCATATTGGTTTGACGAAAAAAACTAAAATTATATCTAGCATTGCAAATTGACTCACTTCTCACGATGACTACAACATTTTTTGCAAGTTCCTGTCCATTAGACCGTGCGATGCATTTGTACCTTCCAGCATTCTGATTGGTCACATCTTTGAGTGACAAGATCAATCTACTGTGATACAAACGAGTTCCACCGTCTGTATCATAATGATCATCATCAATGATATCTTCATTATCGACGTCCATCAACTTCTCACGAGGACCTATTTTATACCACTTGAGTTCTCTTTTGCCAAACGAACTGCAACTTATGTTTGCATAATCTTCGTAGTGTAGTGAGACACTGTGAGGTGTTACATCAAGTTTGAATTTGTCTAAGTAAATGATTTACCAAGTAAGCGACATAGAAAGCAGTATATACAGTAATCTTAAAGGATGCCAGCTTAATTATTGTATTGTACAATTGCGTGCTTGTAACAAAAACAAATCCAAAAAAAGCCGGCAAAACTTACTTGTCGAAGGTGCAACAATGGGGATTACATAAACGTTTGTTGTTATTCTTTCATGTCCAGATATATTCACCACCTTACAGAAATAATTCCCACCATCAAGGGGACGCACTCCTTGCATAGTAAACAAGCCATTTTGCTCGGTCCACTTCACGTTATCCACGACAACTTTTCTAGCCGTCGGATTGTATCGTTTTACGTATAGTGTTACGTTTAAATCGTTCTCTCTCAAATTGCAATTGACCTGAGCGGCATGGCCGTACGAGACAAACAGGTATTTTTTATCATATGCTTGGCTATCACCTAAATATCACAAAATAGAAGTTAGTAAAGATTTTCACAGTCTCTTGCAAAGACAAAACGAATATTAAACTTTCACTTTGGACCATAATCCTATGGCAATTCTTCACTGAAATGGTAAACTTTCATTGCGTGACATCTGCTACGATGCACTCGAGAATCACTTGAAGAAGTCGGTGACATTACATATTTAACATGATCTATTTCAAACTGTGTGCCATCCCTTGCCATTTTGGTACTAACAATAATTACTTGATGCTTGAACCACTTGAGCTCTCGAAACTAAGGCCTATTTAAAACGTCAAAATTTTCAGGTCCAGAAGCATTGATACAAAAGATATTGTAAATGTTATCTTTTGTTTCTGATGCGTTCGGTATTTAAAAAGTTTGACGTTTGAACTCATTCTGACCATTATCGTCATTGGAATCTCAATTTGACTCAACCCCCAACTTGGAAATCGGGATTAATAGCTGGACAAAAGCCAGAAAATTGTTCCTGCACATTTAGGGAAAGTTTTCACACATTTGAAAGGTTTCACGTTACACATATATTTTATTTATCCCATATAGAAAGATTTTTATCAGTTTATCTTAAAGATACATTCATGAATTGCTACATAGCGCTCGCCATGAAGTCTGACTTATATTTTGATACAATTTCAAAAATGTTGACTATTTGAGGAAAAAAGTATTATTTGTCTTATAAATCGAGAAACAAACACAGTTTAGTGATAACGGGAACATTCTTCGTTGATGATTAACGCAATAAAAAGCAAACAAAAAATTAGCTTATATTCACTTCATCAGAATCATCAAGTTTTTCACCAGATGTGTTTACGACATAAGGACAGTGGCTGTTTTTAGCCAAGTGTGATTTGGAAGTGGTAATAAGCAACGTTATTAGGGTAAAACTTTTCTTTCCTTCTTTATGAAAAAGATTTTGGTACCAAAAACATATGAGAAATAAAGTTTTTTTCTAAAATCAAGTTAACCGCATCCCGAAACGAAAAAGAAATAGGAAGGAAATAAGGAGTTGACTATATTTGCAGGAAAATTAATTATCATTTGCCATTCGACTATCGTATCGACGACAGCTGTTGGCCTTATAAATTGTCACCTACGAATTCCACTATCAACAATTGATAAAAAATTCAACCTTCATACAACATCAGAAGCGAGTTCCCGCTAGAAATAATTTTTCAAAACATGCACAGATTTTATTCATACAAAAAGACACAACGTAAAATGCACCAGTTGACACACTTAATTGTTCATAGACGCCGATGCTGTTTCAATAACCGCAACATTCCTGACTTCAGAATGCTATGAACCTAAGACTAAGGATGGCTCGCGTGAAAACAAATTAAAATTATACTGCTGGCAAGAGCTTTAGAAAAAATAATCCATATAACATAAACTAACATCAAACACGCACACGCATTTTATGCAAACTATATCAATCATGACTTAACTATGAAAACAGAAACGGATGTCTCAGGAAGATTCTCACCTGTATTGACAAAAGCTAGCATCAACAGGGTGAACAATGTTCCAGCATAAAAATCCATTTTATTGTGTATTAGTATCGCAAACTGTGACTGGTTTGTGCTACGACAGTTAATTGTAAACTGAGCCTTTTATTCATCTTGCGCGGTTCATATAACTACGGATGCAAGGGATTGTGGGAAAATCACGCCCGAGATTCGCCGAGATTAACCCACACACGTCAACGCATGGCATAGGAATGGCTAGATAGTGAATGCGCAAAATTTCACATAAGTTAAAGAAACACCCCCAATTATCTAGCAAATGAATCAGCAGACAATTCTTAAGGTTTGTCGCGTGAAAGTCGACATTTGATTGCTAAAATAAATGTTTAATTCAACAACATCAATGTTATTTGTATGTTAGGTTATTTAACAATGACGCGGCCGATCGACTTTATTTTTATCTAAGTTTTCTTGTTTGAATCACCATGTGGTACAATTTAAGCATTGTGAATTCAAAAGATCTTCAAACGGTCAAGAACACAAAAGAATTTACGCGTTCAGAGTTTTTGTGGAAATTCTTTTGTGTCCCCGACCCTAGATCTATAATAATGCAACGGAAATTAGTGCATGTTTTTTATTTTCATTTTACCCGGATTAGCCAGCTGTAGTGAAACATTGTGGTGTATTTTAATCATATCATCCATTTTTTAATAACACGTTAATTATCTCACTTTATCCACTTTATTCAAAAAAAGAATGTAGCGATTTATAGAAAGATGGTATCAGACACGAGTCAAAAAAGAATGTAGCGATTTATAGAAAGATGGATCAGACACGAGTCAAGAGCCATTTTTGGCAAATTGGAAGGGCGTTTTTACCAATAGGTCATTTTATGAACGCGGAGGTAGACATTTTACAAAAAAGGGAAACATTCTTTGAGAAGCAGACATTCTGCAGCAAATGATAATCCAACTGAGAGAGATATTCTACAGAAAGAGACATTCCACAGAAGGATACATTCCATAGAAAGAACAAAGTTCAAAACAAGGAATCATTTTACAGGAAGAAGACATGCTACAAAGGGAATATTTGACGGAAAGGATACATAATGTGTCATACATTGCACAGGAAAAAGACATTTTAAAAGGAGGCATTTTACAGGAAGGTGGCAATTTATAAAAGTAGCGTTGACAGGAAAATAAAATTCCATAATTTCGGAGGAGCACTATTGCTAATGTGCATTTAATAAACACGAAATCGGAATCTCATGATGCCATCTTCAGTATAAGTGAATAATTACATAAATAATACAATATTACGTAATTATTCACTTATACTGAAGATGGCATCATGAGATGCCGAAACATGTCTATTTTCGAAAAGCTCGTCGTGTGTATTAAATGCAAAATAAAATTCATTGTGCTAGAAAGTCGAAAAACTAAAATTACTGTAAATAGGCTTAAAATATAGGTCGGATGATTTTGAAAACATTTAAGGAAAAGCATAAACAGATTTTTATAACACGACAAAATCATCGTTTTCAATTAATCCGGACAAAAACGATTTTTTTCATATTTTTACTACGCTGAGACGAAAAAGTTCATTTCGAGTAACACGAGGACAAATGTTGGGAAATGAGCACGATTATTTTCGATTTTCCATGAGAGAGTGTACATCTCTTGGAGTTTCACCATCGCACGGATCTAAAATAATAATCGATGAAAAATAAAAAAGTTAAAGATGAGAACATATTAGTAAATAGTGCGGCCGTCATCAAAGTACATTTGACTAGATAATCAAAGAACAAAAACAGTGAAATTAAAAACAAGATAAATAAGATAAACAAAAAGGCCATAATCCTCACCCTAGTCCTATGAACTCAATCCTTCTCTAGAAATATGGTAATCCGAATCGGAAAGAAATACCGCATGGCAAACTGCCCACAATCACGCTATTTTTTCAGGATTCAATACAAAAACCATGTCACCAACTTATTTTCGCTATAGTCAACATTTGTTGGGTTTAAAATCCTACTCACAGTTCTCAGGTTTTCGCCTTTTATTGCACTTAGTTACAAGGAATTATGGACTTAAAAAAAAATTATCAGAGTGTAATCACGGTCTCGGCGTTATGCTTCTTTGAGCTTCACCAAAGAAAGCGGGGTTAAGCTAAGAAAAGGAGACCAAGTTTGACGAGTAAAAAAGAGAAGAACAAGCTCTGTATTATTTACACTCTATCAAACAAAATGAAGAAAAGCGCTATAGCGAGATGCTTGTCGCAAATTAGGTTTTTGGGAAAGAAACGAATGTTTGAAATAAGTGTAACTATATATGCATAAATATAAGTGTAAATATATTTTTAAATGTCAGTGTAAATGTATGCTTAAATATAATGTATATATGTGTAAACATAAGTGTAAGTATATGTGTAATTATACGCATAAATATTTGTGCAAACGTTAATTTTTCACAACAAATACATGAATATAGTGTAAATAGGGGACGCTACTTATGTGAAGGGTCCCAAAGTATATTTTCTATACATACTGTACATAAAATGCCTACCGTTGAGAAAGTCATCAAAACCAATTGTAGTATCCATTCCAACTAACGTTTCTAAAGCGACCATTGAGCTAGGAAGACATGGCAACCGTCTCTTCTACAAAAGGAATACGCAGGCCTTGACAGCTATTGAAAATATACTTGGGTACATAAAATTACCGGGAGTCTTTTGAGATATGCAAAAAATGAATTAGAAGTGACAAAAAATGTCTAAATACCTGAGATGCTAGAGTTCTCTCAACTGTAGTTTTAACGGCGCATGCAAGCCTTGAATGCTACGAAGCATCATCATATCTCGCTTATTTTGAACATGAAAGTACTATGAAACATAGATACAATAACGATATTTAATCTAATAATTTAATCTAAAAATTATAGTCTAAATCTAAAAATTATAGTTAATTTAAATTTGAATAATGAGCGTAAGCCATTGAAGAAAAATACATGGAACGCTACCTCACCAGATGATAGTCTTAAGACGTGAAACAATGTTTTGTAGATATATATACAACATTATGTAGATACATGTACAACTTTGTACATGTATATACATACAACATTATATACATATATATACAACATTATATACAATAAAATGTTGTATACGATACAATATAATGTTAACATATATACCACATCAAACACTTGCAACATTATAACGCTATACATTTTTTTCTTAACTTAACAACCCCCACTAAAAAAATATAAATAAATTGAACCATCACAAGATATGAAAAGCAAGACGCTTTGCAGTTCACCTTTAATGTAACTTACATTCTTCTCTGAATATTCCAAAGGATGTGAACATGATAAATCGTTTTGCACATTAGAAAACCTGTGAAAAGTCGATGTATGTTATTATGAATGGCGTTTTGAAGGAAAAGAAAGCTAAACTATAGATATAAAGAAAGTTCATTTAATGAATTATGGTGTAATGAAAGCTCTCACGCAAATTCCGAATTTTCCTTCTTTTAGGCAAATTTGACAGTCCAAAATAAAATTTCAACATCAGCAATCAATATATCAACTATTTGACTTACCCCTGTCGAAAAATATCAGGCACAGGTCCAAAGTGGCTTTCTACCTTGCTCACTTCACTAAGAGCTTCCTGTTTTGGAAGTAATGATGGGAGCTCTTTTTCCTGTGAAAAAATAAAGCCAATAAAATTAAAGCTGTTTTTCAGAAGTTTTTTTTATGTAGGTAACAGCGTGAACTTATCTTCTTAAATTTAATATCTAAGAGATATTGCTATCTTTTGCGGAAGTCTGAACATTGTCCATTTTTAATTTCCAATAGCCAAAAACAAAACCATAACGATTGCAGATTTTTTCCGGCAGCTTCCTTCTTGTTTTAGATTTTAGAATCGGAACGTGCATAATGTTTAGTTTCTACAGATTTCCTATTATTATCAATAGTCAATTCAAAATTTCGTTGCAAGCAAAATAAAGCAAGGAAAAGTTCATAAATTACTGCTGCGGCTCCTGTTATAGTACACGTTTTTCTCAGTATACTTTATACAAGTCCACAAAACTACTGTACTATCTGGCTGCTTAGATATCTGGCTATAAGGCTGCATATACATATATTACATCATTACTACACAACTGGAAAGAAAGAAAGGAAAGAATATCCAAAACATTATCCAAATGTAAGCATCTTTCACTTGGATGATGTTCTAATTGAATAAACTTGAATAGATTCGGTATTTCATCAAAATGTAATTGCCTTTAAGAAACATACATGTCCCCCTCCCGGAAGTCTCGGCCCTGGACATACATGCCCCCCTGAAGTTTCGGTCATGGACATATGTGCCCCCCCCCCAGAAGTCTTGGTCCTGAACATGTATGCAAGGTTTTGAAAGCCATTTTTTATGATATTATCACCATTGCGGTTGCATATAAATACAACATACATCATAACTTATTCAGTCTATTCATTTTGGCAACAGTTTAAGAATTGCAGTGTGCAAGGTTTGTGGTAGGCCAATTATTGTAGTGCTACTCCTTTCTCATGAAACGATTTATCATGTTCACATCCTACATCTGAAATTTTTTGACTCTGTTTTCTAGTTGCTATGGTTGAGCAATGCCGCAGAAGCAGTTCTGTAACGTACATCACATTTCATAAAATAATGAATAATCATGAATGTACAAAAAATGAAACAAGTATGCTTGAAAGTGCTAGAAAATGAAACTTAAGTTTATTTAAAATAAATGAAATTATTTATTAGAAGTAATTATAACACAATACGCATAAAAAATTTCAAGGCAATATCAAATTTTTTGAAAGTAAACAGAGATTAATTCTAAGTTTGTGTCATCTTCAGTACAATGAAATAAAAGATTAATTTTACGTTTGTGTCACCTTCAGTATAATGAAATAAGAGATTAATTTTATGTTTGTGTCATCTTCAGTATAATGAAATGAGAGATTAATTTTATGTTTGTGTCATCTTCAGTACAATGAAATAAGAGATTAATTTTACGTTTGTGTCATCTTCAGTATAATGAAATAAGAGATTAATTTTACGTTTGTGTCATCTTCAGTACAATGAAATAAGAGATTAATTTTATGTTTGAGCCATAGTCAGTAAAATGGAATGAGAGATAATTTCTATGTTTGTGTCATCACCAGTACAATGGAATGAGAGATTAATTAAGGTCTGTGCCATCTTCAGGACAATGGAATGATAGATTTGTAATAGGTATCTAATTACTGAGTAGTCTAGATTTTTCACCAAATGATACAACACATTACAACACCATATTTAGCCTAAAATTACCTCTAGACTATTTAGTAATTTGATACAACTAAGCTATAACATTTGTCACACATATATCTGTAAATAAACTGATCTCTCCTCAATCCGTACAGTATATCTGTTGTTATACCTTGCTCTAAGCAGAGACAGTAGACATAGGTATAAGAAAATTACCGTGTCATAGGGTATCTTTATCCGAAAACATTTTGCTGTTCCAGTTTTTCACTATCATTGTGAGAGTTACAAAGGCAAATTTGCCATGCCACCAGTGTGTGACCCACAAATGCCTTACTTTGATAGAACAAAGTAATGATACGTACATAAATACAAGTTATACAACATCGAATAATCCTAATTTATATTGAAATGGACAAATTATCATAGTATAACACATCATACGAGAGAAGCGCTTGTATGCATGCTCTATTTCATAGAATTGCTGGGGAGTCCGGTTGTCAATGTAGCGAAGACACAAAGTGACGATTATTAGATCAAGATGAAATCGTGGCCATGCATGATTACAATCAAAAAATTGTCCTTTACTTTTCAATCTCTTTGATACAGATGATATTTTCAATGTTTACAGCTATATCTACTGCAAATATTGATTTGATGAGAACTGAAATTCTAATAGAATGATGAATAATCTCAAATAATAATGAAGGTAGACTTTATCATAAAAATAATGTTTAACAATGTACTTACATTGTATTTACCAAGGCCTGAAGACAGAAATTGCATACTGGATGCCATATTGAATTCGCTTTTGCCACTGCCATAAATCTGAAACCTGGGACGAGTGACTAAAAATAGGTACGTAGGTACGATCATTGCACGACGATAACTACGATGGTCACAGTAATTCATTGAACTCAACTCAACTTATATATATATATATATATATATATATATATATATATATACTTACAATTAAAATCGATTCCGTTTTGAGATCCAAGGAATGTTTCACAGTTCTCATACTAGATTGATATTGTAGTAACTAGATGTAGATTTCTGACAGAATTAAATTCAAGAAAAGGACATCAACTGAACAGTAAATGTAAATTGTGAGTAAACGAAGATTTCTATGCTTGTCAACTCAACGAGTAATCCCCAAGGGTGAATGAAGGATTTCTGCTACAGGATGTCAGAAGTGGATACTGGACGATTCCATTTGGAGGGGTCTGAGACAATATTTACCTCTCTTCAGTAAATGGGCTGGCTACGCTAGTGTAGACTGAACACAATGGACAGTTTTGTTTAGAAAGCTTTGAAAGATGTTCAAGAAGAACAGAATCAAATAGACAAACAGGTTATAAATCCAAAACTCTTTTTCTGAGGCTTAAACTTGCCACAAAAATATTCTTCTGGGCGAGGGACTACCTAAACTGCTCAAATAATGGTCGAAAATGAAAGATTTCTAAAGAGATGAATTATGATGTTTTGATTCATTTGAAATTTACGTAGCAGGACAAAAGCCTGCGGAAAGTTTCGGACTAGCTACGCAACTGTCTAAAATTTATCTATTCATCGATCTATGCTTATCACCAAATAGAAATCGCCTTGTTTACATTTTCATGCCACTATGCTTTTGGTGCAAGCGAATTCTCGACGTCCGATGTAACATACTTGCAGATGTGCTCTTTAATAATGCGTATCTTCGATATTTTATATCTTATCTAAATTATTTTTACTGGAAATGTGAATTCGGTGGTTGTACTAATAAACCACAAACAATATTTAATGCTTTTTTTGAGAATTTTGACTAAAGAAAGGGGTGCGATTGGCCACCCAGTCTACCCCCACCCTAAATCCACCCCTGATCTCACAGATGACAAAAAATGGTATTAATTTCTAAATATACCCATAGTCAAAAGCTTAAGACTAAAATGAAAAATCTTAATCCGAAGACAATTCCGAGCTCGAATCTTTGCCTTGTTGAAAGTATATCTCTTTTTTTTGGAATGCACTTGTCGAATATTGCCACAAAGGCTTGCTAGATAAATGTCAACTTTTGATTAACAATTCGAACAGGTTTTGTTCATGTGATTCGTGAGTTGTTACAAGATGAAAATTATTATTTAAACAAACGTTACGTTTACCAGTTCGTCCTGTTGAAACCCGCACGTTATGCTTTACAAACGTGACGTTTTGAAACACGAACTAATGAGAAAGGTTGGCAACTGATTAGTTGAACGTTAATGGTAAAAACATATGCATTATGACTGCGATGCTTGAATTCCCATTATGATTTTATAGTTATTAATATTTGATTTGTTTCATAGTAAAAAAAGCGCAAATGAAAGAGATATATAAAGTCACTATAAAGTCACGAAGAAAGATTATAAAGTCACGAAGAAAGATTATAAAGTCAAGAAGAAAGACATGTTTGTAATAAACCACGGCGACGAGCTTCATAAGATTTTAAAAATGTTTTTCAATAATTTATTTTAACATGTTGCAGTTACAAATGTTGTAATTAAAATGCGCGATTTAACAAAGATCACCTGTATCATTTATGATCAAGCATTGTTAAACTTGCAGGTTGTTACGTGCTCCATTGTTCAGTGGTAAACAATGAAGCTATTCACTCGATATAAGAGAAATCACATAAACGCAAAGGTATTGATCCAGGTTGTTTGTTGATATTTTCCGTTTCATTGAGTCTTCCTTACTTTGTTCAAACTAAAACTGCACCTTTTCCCTGCAGGTCTTGAAGTAAAATTTCAATCATTTTCGACACAAAATGATTTGGCATTTCTTCCATCGTCCTGAAACAGTCGGCGAAATGTTACATAATGATGAAAACGTGGAACCAAAAAGAATCGAAATTGTATTTCACTCCAAGACGATGTCGTTGATCGCCTTAGCTTGCATCTTTACAATGATTGTGAATACATGGATCTGTTACATAATCTACAGCAGACGACATCTCAGATCATCGTGCACAGCCCTCATTGTGGCAAACGTCGCTATTGTGGATATCATAGTCACCACTAAAGATTTTCCATACCTTTTATCCGTCTTTCTATCTTCAACATGGTACTTTGAAATACATTGGTGTGGCTCTTATGGTCTAACAAACGTTATATACATCATTGTATCAGTGTCGACGTTGGTTTCTATCACAACTGATCTTTATCTTTTCACGAAAGAAAAAGCTGAGGAATGCACTTCAACAAGGGATCTTACACCACCTGGCCATTATAAGGTCGCATTACTTGGTTATGTAATTGCTCAAACCACTCTTTCTTATTCTCTCAGTCTTCTTTGGAGTAAATATGCATTTCTTGCTCGTAAGGCATTCTGTCAAGTGAAGTTTTCTTCAACGGCATTTCCTGCATCCCTAGTCGTATCAATTCTTTTTCTCATACCAATTGCTACCCTGACTTTCTCCATGTTGGGCAGTCTAAGAAAAGTCAAAAAAAGATCAAACAACACAAGGGAAACTATAAAAAGTGAATTCTCGTCGGAAAGTGACAATGATCGATTGAGTGAAGAAGACAATGAAATCCATCGTTATCTACAGGCGGCTATCGGTATGTTCCTCCTGTCCTGGTGTTTCTATATTGTGGACGGCTTTTATCCATCGCCACACAGTCCTAGTATTCCGGGGGTGATTTCTGCATTCATTCCCATCATGATAACCTCCCTAGTTCCTTTGTTCTATGTGCTTACACACAAAAGAGTGATTTCAGTTTGTTACAGCTCTTCTTCCAGCAAAGTTTAAGCTTTGACTTTACACAAATTGCTCCATTAACATGAATCATCAGATTCATAATCGTGACATTGTTGCAATTTTCAAAGACATTTTCTATTTATCAAGGACATTTGATAAGGATATTTCGATGAATGTAGGCAACTATCTAGACTTGATATTGTGGTTTTAAAATTTGCTGTTTTGTTCATGCATAATAACAATAAAAAATAATAATCACATGAAAAATATCAGAAAGAGTCGTTGATGCAATCTTTTACCGATCACCATCGACTTGCAATCTAAATCTTCTTTTAGTTTTGTGAGTGGTGCAAAGTCCGCCCGCTCATTGATTAAGTCCTGCAAGGCTGCAATGCAAAATTCCTGCAAGGCTGCAATGCAAAATTTCTGAGTTCTTCCACTAAAAAACAAAAACAAAACATTTCTAAAGACGACATGACTGTTGATAAAGTTTTTATAAATTTTCATAGAAGAAAAAAACGTGCGGACCGTCTCCACATTTGGTTTTTATTACATACTAGAAATAAGGAGAGAGGGCTCGAACAATACGTTGCATTGCTTATTCAATTTAAACAATATGAGCCAAGATTGGCATGAAAGAAAGGTAGCCACAAATGCTAGTCATGTTTGGAAATTGAAGCACTTTATCTCACTGACAAAGACCAAAATAAAAAATAAGTTAGCAAATAGAAAATGAACCATGTCCAGCCGATGATTCAAAAATATAACTTCAGGAAACAAAACTTTACATTGCCATGACACAAAGATACCCAGGATCTCGGACACAAGATATCATGACGGTCTGTAAGTCTGAAAGAACATGCTACAAGACTCTCTTCTAGTTTAGTTGACCAAACATTTTTCCGAGGGTGAAAACACTCATTTCTTAGCCACACAAGAGAACCACTCAGTTATCACTACTCAACGAACTTTTCCTAGCTTCAAAGACTCCTCCTGTTGAAAACTTCGTGATCAACCGCTGTTTCATATTTCGCGCAACTGAATCTCACAACCACCACAATCTTGCCTTTCTAGAAGTACTTCTGATCCAACACAACACATTACAAAGTGAACGAACCTTTTCTGAAATCTGGACTTAAAGCTAAAAAAGAACTGCAGCTTTTCTCCTTTCACACTCCAGCAGTCGGGATTCGCACCTTTTGTTCTAAATAACACATTACTTTAAATTCTTTGTTAAAATTATCACACGACTTAATTCATTTAAAAGTCTCTTTTTTTCTCTCGAATTTAAGCAAACAATATTATTTACTATTTTTTCTGTAGATTTTTTTTGTAAAACGGACATCATTGATTTAAATCCCTGACAGTTTCTATCTCCCAAAATGAACAGTTTCTATCTGCTTCTTGTTTTGTAAATTATCTTGCATTCCCAACATAACATATGCTGTTTTTTCTAGAATGTTTCTTTTACTGTACTCGTGGTATTTTTGTCTCTTGTCCCAGAAACCACGACACATGAATGTGCGCGTGTAAAATACGAAACAATACTTTCCGGAAACTGTCATTGATACTTGATGGAGAGTTAAGATGGCGAACTTCGACACAATTTTTCATGAAAATAGCTCTGAAGATGATACAGATAATACTCAAACATCGTTGGAGTACGCACTTAATCTACCCGAGCCAATTGTTATTCGTGGTGTTGGTAATATGACTGTGTAAGTGTTGTAAACGCGTATGCTAAACTTTACACATTGTGCGTGACGATAACTAATGGCACAACAATTATTGTGTGAGCTAGAAACCGAAGTTATTTTATGCTTTATAGCTTTGGTTTAAATTGTAAATATGACACGGATTTTCCGTCAGCACTTCACGCAAAGGTTAGTAAATGTTGTATTTGAAAAAAATCCTTCTGTACCATGCAGTCTCCAATAAGTCTATGCAGAGTAACAGCATGTTAGGGTATAATTTGAAATTTTAGGTTGCCAATGAAGAGTTTTCGATGACTATAAATCAAGTAAACAAAGTTTTGAGGAAGACGATGACTGTTAATGTCAGATGGTGGTTATGTGGATGTATATGTTGTTGTTGTACTTTAGGAATGTCATTATGGCCAGTTGTGTGTCTTAACAAAAGGGTACATTTACACCATGGTGTTTTGATCACAAACAGTATAATAGACATTTTGAGATGCTTTATTTTTATCTTTCAGACTCGTCACACTATTAATAAAGTTTTAGATTCAGAGAATGTTAATTTCTATCATAAAGTGAGTAAAGATTTATAAATTTTGCGGAGAATGTTAATTCTGAGTGGAAAGTTAGAAGAGAAGGTCGATCTCTCTTAGAAAATAATTGAAAGGTCTATCTACAAATAAGTAATGTACAAACCAGTCGTAAGAACCTATTGCCAAGCTACCAATCCTACTTTTGCATTGTTTTAGCTTGGTCTTCATTGGAGTTTACGAAAACAGAAGTGTGTGTCCAGCAACATGATGGAATATGTATGGAAAATTTGTTTGCAAGATTATGATATCGAAAATTTCACCTGTTATGAATTTTACTATATATTTCCTTTTAGGTGCTTCTGGTTGAGTTTTACCAAAAGCACAAATACTGAAACCAGACTAGCAGATTGAAATTCACTGCAATCATAAACACAATCAGATTGTTGGTCCATGGAGTTCATGTCATGAAGCATTGAGAAAATATGGAAGTTGCTATTGCATTGACTATTATTCACCAAGAAAAGACTAAACGTAGCTCAGTTGTTGGCTAGAAGAACAATATGAAATAATGGGGATGTATGAAATTTAGCTGTATTTGCATTTGTTTTTCTGAAATAGTGTACATGAAAAAATTCACAGTTTCTTATAAAGAAAGCAAATGCATAAATATTATTTTCCAAAGTTTTGTTTAACAATATATATATATGTGTATGTAGCAAAGCTATTTTAAAATTTATATAAGATTTGAAAATTTTAATGAGACCCACATTTAAATATCTTTTTTATTAAATTTCATACCTATCTGTAGTTCTTAGATTCTTGTAAAATTAATATATTTGTTATTGGTGTACATTGCTTAAGAAGGTCGAATGAAACGAGCAGTATTACATTTTCTTTGAAGATTAATTTGAACAAAATCAAAAGTTGATGTTACCTAATGTAAATTGCGTGAATGATTTGATAAATCCATTCTATGTAAACACATCATGATGTAGATGTGTAAAGCAAATTAGGTTAGTTTTACTGGTCATTATCAGCATTTTTAAATACAATCTGCCTTTGTGCACATCATTGTGTATCTGAAGAAAATATGAATTGAATGTACCACTAAGTGTATGTTGTAGAATGCCTTGAGACAACAACTACCAATTTTGAATGAATAGCCATAAACATGTCACGAGTATTATTTGGCCCAAACTCAAATTTCTGACTGGTAAGTCAACAAGACTGTGCTAAATTTATATACAATGTACTTTTGTTGCGTTTTTTGATGTGCTCTTCGGCACAATTTCCAAAGAATGACTTGCCAAGTAATTCATAGGCCAATGTCAATAACATCGAGGCTTTTCTCTCAAATAATTCATGACCAAACAAAAAGAGATCCAAGCCCAGTTCTAGACCCATTCCATAATCACACTCATCATTGGCAAATTGAATACGTGATAATATCTTGCAATTCATCTAAAAGTGACTCACGTCTGTTTCCATCAACAATGTTGGTCAACATTGATTTCAATTCAGCTAATAAAAATCATCAACGATAACAAAACTATGTAGGTGTGATTTTAAGGTCAACAGACAAATGTGAACAAATCATTGAAACTGAAACATGCAATAATAGTTGAAATTGGACGAAATCCTGTTCCAAATTAATATGCTTGAGAAAATGTGAAACAAACTTTGCTATACATAAGTCCATGTATGTGAGGAGAACCTTATAATTATTCCACATTATGATACAATGTTATCCAGTAAATCATTATACTTCTTACCATTTGAAATTTGGAGATCTCGATAGCCAACTCCCATGTCATCAACCGGGACCACAATTCCCATCTTATGAAATGTTTTGCAACAACTTTACTATTCCTAGCCTTCATGGGCAAAGTATTTTTGTCCAAATTCAAATTTCTTTCTTGAGCTTTGAATTTAATTTTTGCTTGTATATCCGCTGCTTTCTTTTTGCCTCTTGCTTTGCTTGCAGTTTTAATACTATTGCTAAGATTAAAACTTTGTGATTAAAGAGTTGGTGTTACAATACATTGAAAGCTATCTTGTATTTAGTGGTACTGGCATGGTATATGGTATATATTTCAATTATTGAAATAAAATGACCAAACCTTATAGCAGCAAATATGTTATCACCAAGAACTTTGAACTCGTAACTCTTTTTTGCCTCATTGGAAGCTAACAAGACTGGTTTATCACCTGGATGATCACTAGTATTGATAGTGATTTTTTTAGACAGTTGATATCAATAAACACATAAGAAGCATTTCAAGTAGAATGCAGTTGAAAGTTAAATTTAAGAATGAATTCTCACTCACCAATAGTAGCCAATATGAAACCCAAGAGAGTCATCACCTTTCAAAACTGTAACAAATTCAGGAGGGTCATAGAAATATCTGTAGTGGAGACAAAGTCCTTCGTTTTCATCCCTTGTTTTGAATTTCCTGTCCATCAATACATCATAGGGACCAACCAGTTCAAGATTTACGTCCTTGAGTGCATCTAAAAGTTTTGTGCAAAATATGTCAAAGTCTTTAATCACACAAAACACAGAAGACAATGTAAAGTAATGCCTTCCTTATATGTAATCAGAGCGAATCAACCAGTCAAAGTATGTATTTTGAATTAGAAATTTAGCTGCTATAATTTATTTTGACTACATCTGGATCAAGCTACCTGAAGTGTACAACTTAAAAAATGTGTATACAAATAAAATTGTATTTGGCCTTATCAAACCTTGAGGTTTGTGTGGATTCCATTCTTTACAGAGTTCCCAAAGATCATAGAAATCCTGAGGCATATTTATACCAAATTTTTCTTTGATAAAATCATGTTTAGAGTTTTCTTGGGTGTAAGATTCTGCAAAATTAGATCACACATCAAATCAACAAATACTAAATACTATGCTGGAGGCTTCACGAGGAAAGGAGTGCATCCTTCTTTGGTATTTCTAAGTATTCCAAGATCCCATTAAATTAATTTTTCCTAAATAGAAAAGTTTATTTAATCAAGATCCAGCTTTACGGATGTGAAAAACTACCAACCTTTACCATCATTTTCGGGTGATGTTGTGACTTTCCTTTTCTTGCTCAATGGTTCCGAGGGCGCATCGCAGCTGGCATCGTTCTGCTGTGAGAGTTAAAAAAATTGAAAATTGTTCTAAAGATGACGATTGCAATGGTAAAGGACCGAAGGTGGTCTGTGGATGACTCTTTCTCTTACCTCTCCAGTTTTTTCTACATGGAAAAATTCTTTAAAATGACTTTTGTTCTTTCTGTAGCATTGTTTGCCGTATTTACAGTGTCGGAGAACCAGAGATGAATTTTTTGAACTATCGGCCATGTTTGAGTTTCATTTTTTCGGCGGGAAGCCGGGAAAGTATAATTCACAAGGAGATAAAGCGAGGCAGCACATTGAAAAGGCAGGACACTTGAAAATTGCGACCTCAGATTACCCGCAAACGTAGGAGGCCGTGCCCGATGGCTGTTGCTTCACCTAAAGGTAAGTTTGGATGACACATAAGAAAATTTTCATCTCCGCCCCATGGTTAACCCACAACAATTATGAAAGTAGAACCTATGAAAATTGAAAGACTGTGAATTTTCTTTCAACATGTCTCCCAGCCATAAAATTGATCCTGCTACAAGGACAGCGCCCAAAATTGAACCTGGGGAGGGGCAATGACTTATAATTACTAAGTTTACTGCACCTTACTTTGCCTCAAGTTGGGCTAAAATATAAAAATGTTAGAAAAATGCAACGAAAAGGCGAAGCAATTTTTGACAATTCGTCCATAAGCAAAGACAAGTTTTAATTGTGTGTTGACAACTAACATTAAAATCATCAAAATCTGAAATTTGCTCTTTTACAATAAAACAGACCTTCAAACATCGCACAACGATAAAAGACAAAGCTAGCTTTTAGCTTGAAAAAAGCATAGAGCACTATACCATATGAATATCATGGCACTACGACAAATTGGACAATATCACTACTAGCGTTTTATAAAGTTACTGTAGGTGAGAAAAGAATGATAATTTATCTACTTCTTAAGTGTAAAAAGCAAATCTTTTTTAAGTAGTCTTCTCTCTCGTTTATTTTTCTTTTTTACCACAAGACAAAGAATCTATGGTCTACAACATAAGGGATGATCTACAACATAATCTACAAAAATAAGGGATTAAACATGATCTACAACATAAGGGATGATCTTCAACATAATCTACAAAAATAAGGGATTTAAACATGATCTACAACATAAGGGATGATCTTCAAGATAATTAACAAAAATAAGGGATTTAAACATGATCTACAACATAATGGATTTAAACATTACCATCACCTTTATGTACTTCGACTATACAGCCACGCAAATTGACATTATACAAACTGCCAAAAGACTTGATTTATATGTTGACATTGAGCAAACAGAGAAAATTGTCAAAAAAAGCAAAACTGCAAAAATGATAACTGTGCAAACTATTGCAGGTGCTCTCCTTTAATTAATCAATTCTGCCTCAATGTTAATTAAAACTTTAAGCGTACAGCTAAGTTTATCGCAATATCAAGGCGGCGAGATTTGATTTCGGTTGCTTTTCATTTGCAAATATTGCAAATTAAAGCCATGAGCAGCATTTTCATCGATCTTTATGAATAATAAAAGGTTATGGAAACAAATTAAGATCGGTTGAGTTGTTTTGATCACATTGGAATATAAAATATCACGCGATGATCAATCTCCATCTGACATACTTAGGAAATCATTTTATTTTGTTTTTGATTAAACACCAGCTCAAAAAATGTTTGTACGTTATAAAAACTGTAATCAAAGCACCTGATTTTTTTTATATACATTTGGATAACACAAATTATGTTCACTTTAACCTTAGAAAAAGAAATGTTCATAAACGGCGTTTAAAAATATTTGAATTTTTTCTAAAGACAACAATTAATAATATGAAATTATTACTATTACTATGCTTTATTTTCTCAAATCAGCAGCGGGTGGGGTTCTAGAATTTCCTGAAATCTGATTGGCTGTAACAGCAAGCGAAATCTGATCGCGGTCCCGAGATCTAATAGCTAGAGTTGAGTTGGTTGATTGGTTTTACAGCGAAGTGCCTTAGCCAACTTTAATTCTAATAATCTATTTTAACCAAACTTGCAGTTTTCCAAAGTAAAATGAATAAGCAAAGTTTTGATAAATTTCTTTGTCGCCATTGTTGACTCTGACAACACGACTCATTAAGATAGTTGTCTTGAGCAAAAAATAAATACGTTATTTACCGTTTGAGTCGATCAGGAAGATATCCTCTTTCTCTGGCCTAGGGATGTTTTTAAAAGCTCAGCAAATATTTTCCTTTTTACGTTTTAAGTAGCATAAAATATCAATTAGTGAAAACATCAAAAATCGTCTTTGACTAAATAATTCATTACACCTTTAAGCTGTCTTTTCCCTTTGAAAATGAAACCGTCCGACGGCGGTGGAAGATTTGTCCTCGAGTGAAAAAGTATTAAGAGACGATTTATCGATGAGATTTTATCAAAATTTAATGAGAAAAAGACTTCTTGCACTGCGATTTGACTACGCCACAATTTGCACACTAACTGACAAGCTTTATTAAAGTCGTTCGCTAAAAATCACATTATATTTTGAGAATGTATCATTTATAATTAGCTAGTGTACTACATATAAATCGTAGTTATTTCTTAAAAGACATTGAAATACATACATTAGCACACTAAACCGACACAATGTATCATACCATACCGAAAATGCGTTTAATTAAACTCCGTACGAGCTTAAATTCAAATAAGATTGGTTATTTCACAGTAGCAAGTCTATAATTAAAGTTTGGCGTAGCTAATTTTCAACAAATGTAAAAACAAGTTATGGCAGATGATAAAATTCTAAACTCTTTTTATCAACGTTGCAAAAGCAGCTTAAAAGGACAAAATTGTGCTTACAAATTAAGCCGCAAAAGTAAACTATGTTGATAATTACTTAAATTGCCATTCTCTTTCATCTTTTCGTTTCGTATAGGAATAAACAAGAGAGAGCAATACATCTGTCACGCGAATTTAATATAGAACATAAAAATGATACAAAGTCTGTTTGATGATAATACATCACTAATTGGACGCCAATAAATTTTCGAAATTGTCTATTATTTATGACATAATTTTCGGCTTCAACAATAATCGACAATCAAGTAATAACGTTTTCCATGTGTGCAGATCGGCAGGGGTGATCATTTATACGCAACGAAAACGATTGTTTAAGTTAAAAACATTCAGTTAGGCTTTTACATGTCGAACATACATCATTGCAAAGATGAGCTCCTTTCTGATAGACTCGATCACGCCAAGCAGTCATCGCAGAAGCCCGTCGCCAGTAGCACTCCCGAGAACCAGGGCACCGATTCCATGTGATATGATGGCCTGGAGAGATTACTGGCTACTCCAACAAGATAAGATCAATTTTTGCCACTTGTGCAGTCCAGGAAAATCTACCTTTGGCTCCTATAGAATATCTACGAGAAGTCAAGACCACCCATTCGTACATCAAAATTACATCGCCAAGAATGACCAGCTAATGGAAGGTGATTTTCACAGTTCGAGTGACGCCACGAGACACTTCAAATCATACTTTGGTAGGTACATTGAAAGAGGTTTTGGAGAGAAGTCAAAAGTGATTTTGAATATAGACAGCAAATGGAACTGCGCGCTGATTCGAACCAAGAGAAATGAAATACTCATTAAATAAATATGTTTATAATGTTTCCTATAGAAGTTTACTTTGTAAAATTACATAGCTATTACTCAAACACGCACTAATTTTTCAAATAATATTATAGTTACATATAAGTCCATAGTAGGGTTTGAATTTTTTGACTAAACGAAATTGTCACATTGTAGAAACATTGCAAGAACGTAGCAACTTGAGCCATTACATTACAAAGACATGAAACACAACTTTAGCTTTAAATACGCACTAAGTATAGAAAGCTTTCGTTGTTACACAAATGCAATGAAGCAAGAAAATGTTCAACTGAACCTTTAACGAAAGCGTATATTTTGAAATGTATTTCTCAAGGTGGTCGTGAAAATGACATGGCCGTGAAAAAGAGAATACGAACGGCTTACACAAGTCTACAATTGCTGGAGTTGGAAAAAGAATTCAGTAACAATCGCTATTTATCTAGACTGAGAAGGATTCAAATCGCCGCCATGCTCGAACTCACTGAAAAACAAGTGAAAATTTGGTTCCAAAATCGCCGCGTCAAGTGGAAAAAGACCGCAAGACTTTCAACTCAAATCAACAGTATCGCTCGTTCCTCCAATGAATCAGTAAAATGCAAAGCACAAAGCCTCAATGATGGCATTATTCTTAGCAAGAACGACTGGAAATTGTAACTCTTCCAATATGCACAATCAAGTTTACAAGAAAAAACAACAAGAACAGAAAGTGATGCACCAATTTTTCTTCCATGAATTTTTCCCAATAATAAAAATAATAGAGAAAATAATAATACTAGACGTATATGCTTTCTTACTTTCAAGTTTTGAGAATTCTACATGGTGTATTGAAAAAAGTTTACAATAGGGAAAGTGTCGCAAAATTCATTAGCGCAAAATATTTGCGAAAACCTTTATAGTGTAAAAATAAGTATAGTTGGATTTCCAATGTTCATGTGACAGTAAATTTTTCGCAAATAAAAATTCGAGTGAAAATTTGAGCTGTTCTGTTCCAGAAATCGGTAATCCACAGTCTAAGCCAGCGTGTGCTTGTTTGGTATATGCTAATAAGCAGATCTGATCTGTGGTATTACCATGTAATGCGCCGATGATTGCTTTCTGGCAGAGACTGTACATTGCAAACCTGTTTCTTGTCGTCGTGCAAAACTATCGGTTCCTTTGTCCTTTAAAGTCTTCGATGCATAAAAAAGGACCGAAAGAACCTATTCCATCGGTTAAACCCGCAAAGCTCTAGTGCGAACCATGCCGACAAGCAAATTTTAATCAATTGCTCCAAAATGACAAAAAGAACGCAACTAGAACGCATTGGAAAAATATTGCAAGTATTGGTCACGTAAATATAATTTGTTCGCGCATGTGCAGCTCGAGATTTCATTGGATGCCGCGCTAACACAGGGAGAATGAAAACTATTATGAAAAACTGAAAACAGACCCAATTAAGAAATGGCAGTAAAATGAACGCTTAATGTTATAAAACAAATTAAGACAAATTAACGATTAATTATGACATGTACATTGATTACAACTTATCTGTAAAATTCATGTTCTGTTTCATCTTTCTTCACACTAGTCTTGTAACCCTTTTCAAAATCTTTAGATAAGATAACATAGCGGTTTTCTCTAACTGCTTGCATACCAGCCTAAGTTTACAATAAAAACAATTAAAAATAAAAACGATAAATATCTGAGCTCAATCAATCAATATAGAGAATTTGTAAATCAATCATAAGTAAACAAAAGGTAAAATTAAAACGTTTGTTTTAAATTTATATGTTTCGCAATATTAATATTTTATAAAAGAAATAAAAGGATGCGTTTCGTGTTTGCACTGGCTTACGCAAATCTCGGAGAGGTTTGTGAGAATTTTTGAACAGGGGCAATCCTCGACCTTCGGTCTCAGGCTTGCACTGTTCTGCTCTCGAGTTCTCCCAAAGGTCTCCTCGGTTTGCATAAGCCTGTGCAAGCAAAGTAAACATCTTTCATTTCTTAAACAAAAGTATAAACAGACAAACGAAGTCTGATTTTTAGTAAGTCAAATTAAGTCTGCTGTCCAAAAATGTCCGAATGCATTCTACTCTGGCAATTAGGACATTATTTCACATCATTCTTACCTCTTGGCAAATGGCATTGATGTCTGCTCCACTTATTTTATCAGGTCTAGCCACATCTGTAAAGTTAAGTCAAGAAAAAACCATTCTTCCAAACTTGTTGTCAAATCACCGTTTATGCATTCGTCGTATATCCATGAATTTTTCCCAAAATATATCCCTCACCTCAAAACATGTTATCTTTAAATGTTAAAATAATCAATGCTATGAAAAAAGTTTGACATACCTTCCCGTTGCTAATTTTTTACTACAGTCATATTTTTTCAATTTAGGGATTTTTGTTAAAACTACTATTTTGTCCACTGGTGCATTCTGTATTTATTGCGTAAGTCAATTGACCAATCGAAAAGACTCAATAAATGTTCAATATATGATGTTCAATAAAAAGTTTGACTTACATGTCTGTATTTGTAGATCGTCCTGGTTAGTAAAATCCTGAGAAGGACTGTTGATGTTGATTTTGAATGACGTTTCGACAAACTCAGCGGTGGTAATCTTTACTTGACTCTGAAGATGACTACCACGAAGGTTGTCGAAACGTCAGTCAACATCAACACAAGCGGTCCTTTGACTCTGCTAAGGTTGACTCTGAAGACGACTACCGCTAAGGATGTCGAAACGTCAGTCAACATCAATAACAACAGCCCTTCTAAGGTTGACTCTGAAGACGACTACCGCTAAGGATGTCGAAACGTCAGTCAACATCAATAACAACAGCCCTTCTAAGGTTGACTCTGAAGACGACTACCGCTAAGGATGTCAAAACGTCAGTCAACATCAACAACAACAGCTCTTCTAAGGTTGACTCTGAAGACGACTATCGCTAAGGATGTCAAAACGTCAGTCAACATCAACAACAACAGCCCTTCTAAGGTTGACTCTGAAGATGACTACCGCTAAGGATGTCGAGGAAAACGTCAACATCAACAAGGTCAACAACAACAGTCAACATCTAAGGTTGACTCTGAAGACGACTACCGCTAAGGATGTCAAAACGTCAGTCAACATCAACAACAACAGCCCTTCTGAGGTTGACTCTGAAGACGACTACCGCTAAGGATGTCGAAACGTCAGTCAACATCAACAACAACAGCCCTTCTAAGGTTGACTCTGAAGACGACTATCGCTAAGGATGTCAAAACGTCAGTCAACATCAACAACAACAGCCCTTCTAAGGTTGACTCTGAAGACGACTACCGCTAAGGATGTCGAAACGTCAGTCAACATCAACAACAACAGCCCTTCTAAGGTTGACTCGGAAGATGACTACCGCTAAGGATGTCCAAACGTCAGTCAACATCAACAACAACAGCCCTTCTAAGGACTCCACTAACCTGGACGATCTACATCTATAAGCATGTAACGATACTCCCGGGTTCATACCAATTACTTTGAAAAGTTTGACTGATACTAAATTTGTATTAATTCTTTTCTCGTCTTCTCAAAAACTTCCGAAGTGACTTAGGCATATAAGTTAGTAACGCGACGACATATATATGGTATGTGTTTTCAAAATTTGACAGTTAGAATTTGAACATTTCCGAACTTAAAATCTTTTTCTCCCATTCAATTTGTAACAACAAAAAAGCAATAGCCTGCATTATTGTCTAACCGTCCAACCAAGGAACAATATGCACTGTTCCATTTCGTTATCCCAACTTCACAACAAACAAATGTGCCTGTAATTAATAAATAACTAAGATAATCAAATGAAAGGATACAATCTTCCAAATCAACTTCCTCAGAGAGATTCATTTTTGCGGTAATAGTAGAGAAGATCAGTCGTTTTTGTCTCCTATCTGGTAATGGAAATTCTATCTTACGATCCAAACGTCCAGGTCGAAGTAAAGCTGGATCAAGCGTATCCTGTCGATTGGTGGCCATTATCACCTAAAAAATTCCGATAGATTTGTACCTAGGTTTTGTTAAAAAAACAGGAGTCCGGGGCGTCGCCAGGGAGGAAACAGCGATATACGTGTCCCCTCCTGGTTATTCCAAAGACCAATTTGAGATTGAAAAAAACGTAGGTTGTACAATGAATCCAAACTCAAAAAGCTATAAAAACAGTGGCCTATGAACGGCCACACAGGAAAGTTAGTATGGTAAGCAGCAATCTTCAAGCATCGCAAGCAGGTAAGATTGAGTTGAATGCGCTTGTTCACACATCTAACAGAAAGCTGCCCTTGTAATATCGTGTGTTTTTAAGATTATAATAACCTGCATGAAAGAAATAGCGTTTTGAGTACATACAATCAAATATTTTCTCTAAACGGGTATGCCTCTAAACCCCTAATGAAGTCTCACACTTTTTGACTGTAGCACTGTCCCACCTTGTGACGCCCGGGTGCGCGAAGGCCGAAGAACACTATCCATTTTTATAGACTTCAAACACTTTACCCTTAACGATTCAAAAATATTTTAAAAGGGAAATATCTACGTTTGAAATGAACCATGAATAAAAAATTTTCGCTCTGGAATTACTAAGTTCATTATCGTTAAGAAAACACAACCACCTTTTTCACAGGTTTGAAAAATATATCTCCAAATATCCTAAGGATAAACAGCAATTTCTGAACAGGCATAGTGCAATCAGCTCGTTAAGTAATTAAAGTAAGTGTTAATGGCGAAAGAGTTTTATATTTAGACCATACATACTGTTGCTATTCACACAAAAAATCTTCCCCTTCCCCCATTAAACGAAATTCACGTTAAGTCACGTCAGAGAGAAAGCAATCTGTTTTTTAATGTTCAAATATGTTTCAATCAAACTTTGCAAATGCACTAATTACTAGCTATTTTAGAACAGGCATCTACTTTTAAAATAATTAAAATAGTTTGATTGTCCAATTACAAGTCGCACGAAGAAGTTCTTACCTTTACATTGACATTCTGATCAAAACCATCCATCTGATTAAGAAGCTCAAGTAAAATTCTTTGAACTTCTCTGTCCGCTAAATCCATAAGTGATACAGAATTCAAGCAACAGATGGTAAAATGAAAAAAACAGGCAATACCTTTAAATCATAACTTTTCAATTCATTTCACAACTTAGAAGTTTTTAAAATCACATAAAACATACCTCCTGTCTGTGCATCAAAACGTTTTGTGGCAATTGCATCAATCTCGTCAATAAAAATGATCGCAGGAGCATTCTCTTTAGCCAACCTAAACACATCTCGAACCATTCTAGGACCTTCTCCAAGATATTTCTGAACAAACTCTGAGCCAACAACACGAATGAATGCAGCTGTTGTGTTACGAGCCACTGCTTTAGCTAACATTGTTTTTCCACAACCAGGTGGCCCATACATGAGAACACCTCTCGGTGGATCTATTCCAATCTGTTTATAGAGCTCAAAATGTGTAAGAGGCAATTCGACAGCTTCACGAATCTCTTGTTTTTGAACATCCATCCCACCAATATCTGAGTAAGACACTTCAGGCTTCTCATCCGCACCCAGCATTGCAATGCTGCTGTCAGATTCAGGTGGAAGAACATCAACTAAAGCATTTGAGTGCTTATGTAAAGCCACTGAAGCGCTTGGTTTGAGCAGTTCTCTGTCAATTGTGCTCAAAATACGAACATAATAATTTGAACCTACGGGGAAAGATTAATTAAGTTTTCAGTTCAAAGGCTTTAAGTCTTGCTTACACAACAGTCAGTGTGTATAAAAAGAAGTGAATCAAACTGAACATGTTGCTGTGCATTTTACATTGTGTTTCACAGTTATATTTCTATAGCAAAAAAAAAATTTTTCATTTCAAAGAAAAGAAAAGAAAACAGCAGGCTTGTTTTTTGTTTAATATGCTAAACAATCATCAATAATTGTACTCAAGGAATTCAA